TACGTATAAATTGCACAAATTTTAAATACATTATAAAAAATTATAGATTTATAACGAAGTTTTAATAAAAAAACACTAGTCGGCTTAGCTCGGCCTGCTAAGGCTCGAGCCGAAAGCTCGGGCCGAACCTCATTTTTTGGGAATATGTAACTAAATATGTAACTTAAGAAAATTAATATGTAATAAAATTTCTAGTACTTTCAGAGTAAACTAATATGTAACTTACACGTGTTTGGGAACCGAGTTCAATGTTTTATTCTCATTCGAAAATTTTATATAGAGCAAGTAGAAAAAAGGGTATCGAATGATAATCATATTTGTATTTGTGAATAATGATTGAGTTAGAATGGGTTATGATTTCCCGAATCAACTTGCACTCATATATTCTTTATTTTCCTTTTCATTTCTATTATTGTTTACAAAGAAAATTAGGAGATAATGAAACCTCTTTGATATGATTTATTATTATATCATCCATTAAACAAAACTATAATAATTCTGAAAGCTAAATAATTTAAAAGTAACTTAAAAAATAAGTGAAACTGAAACCCCACTTCACTTATAATTCTATTATAATCAAGTAAGAATTAATAATATAATTAATCATAATGCAGCTCATAAAATAATATATGGTAGACTAATTTGGGTTATGGTGTGAGAATTTTAAATTTTTGAACTCAATAACTGGTCACATGCAGTATTCTTGATCCATGGCGCCTCTTCTATTTAAGGCCAATTCATCCCCCTTCTGTCTCGTCAAACAAATTCAACTGTTTCTCTTACAAAGTTCTAAATCTCCTCATCATACCTAAACTACATTTAGTTATTTCGAGTTCTCCGAGGAAAAACAGCAAGTAAAAATGTTTAGCTTTTCGTTTTCGGATCAAGATTTCTTGGCACCCAGGTGTGTTTGGGTGAATGGTCCTGTCATAGTCGGTGCTGGTCCATCCGGCCTGGCCGTGGCAGCTGGCCTTAAAGGACAAGGTGTGCCTTATGTCATGTTAGAAAGAGCTGATTGCATTGCCTCTTTGTGGCAAAAGCACACTTATGATCGCTTAAAACTTCACCTCCCTAAACAATTCTGCCAACTGCCTAACTTCCCATTTCCTGAAAACTATCCTGAGTACCCCAACAAGAAACAGTTCATAGATTACCTAGAATCATATGCTAGGCAGTTTAACATCAGTCCACAATTCAATGAATGTGTAGAGTCGGCTAAATATGATGAGGCTTGCCGTTTGTGGAGAGTTAAGACTGTTTCGACTAATGGCTCCACTAGGTCTGAGGTTGAGTACATTTGTCAATGGCTAGTGGTGGCAACAGGGGAAAATGCAGAGCGAATTATGCCGGATATTGAAGGCTTGCAAAACTTTGGTGGTGAAGTTATTCACGCTTGTGATTACAAATCTGGTGAGAATTTCAGAGGGAAGAATGTTCTTGTTGTAGGATGTGGAAATTCAGGCATGGAAGTCTCTCTTGATCTTTGCAACCATGATGCCAAGCCTTCAATGGTTGTTCGCAGCTCGGTAAGTTTTATACCTATATTACGTCCAATTCATTCTTTTATTTTTCTGAAAGAAATGAATTTGAATGTTTAGATTGTGATGTGACTAATCTCATGTTTTTTTTATCTTCAGGTTCATATAATGCCACGAGAAATATTTGGCAAGTCTAGTTTTGAGCTGGCAATGTTTATGCTCAAGTGGCTGCCAGTATGGCTGGTTGACAAGATTTTGCTGTTCTTAACATGGATGATTCTTGGAAACATTGAGAAATACGGTCTAAAACGGCCATCAGTGGGTCCATTGGAACTAAAGAACACTCAAGGAAAAACCCCTGTTCTAGACATTGGTGCACTTAAAAGGATCAGATCCCGCGAAATAAAAGTAGTTCCCGGGATCAAGAGGTTCTCGTGCGGCATGGTCGAGCTTGTAAACGGTGAACAGCTCGAAATTGATTCAGTTGTTTTGGCTACCGGATATCGCAGTAACGTTCCTTACTGGCTACAGGAAACTGAATTCTTCTCAAAGAATGGGTTCCCAAAGGCACCATTTCCTAATGGATGGAAAGGAAAGTCTGGATTGTATGCTGCTGGATTTACAAGGAAAGGACTATCTGGTGCATCTGCAGATGCTACACGAATTTCGCAAGATATTGCCAAAGTTTGGAAAGAGGATTTAAAGCAAAAAAAGCAAAAAGTCCCGACTCACCGAAGATGCATTTCGACATTTTGATCAAAGGGGAATGGAAATTTCCTTCAATGTCCATTTCCTTTTTCATCTTTTCTTAACTTAGATGGTAAAAAAGATAGTTTGTGTTCAGAAAAATGTATGACATATAACATAGAGATTAGCCCTCTCCAAAGATCCCACGTTTTATTATTGGGCATCTTGAATACTCAGGAGGAGGATGAGGCTTTTCCTTGCTTTTTTCATTAGCGATTTTTGTAGATTTGAAAATTTATTTGTTGAACAATTACAATGAAAAATGTTTTTCTTTTCTTCAATCATAAATTTATCTGTATCTGCAAATGTTCTAAATTTCCATTTAATTTTTATTCATTATGAAATGGCAGGATGCCATTTAAAATGTCAAATGGCAAAGAAATGAAGTGAATATCATTCACTCTGAGAATTCATATGAGCGTGGAAAGAAAATGGGGAAGGGTGCGCTACGTTTCTACTATATTGGAAGGCTTCTTCGGTCAAATGTTTTCAATTTCTACATCAATACAATAAAATCAAATTCAAATGGAAAATCTTAACAGCTCTCTCTTTCTGAAATGTTTGGCTAACGGCCCATTTGACATGACTTTTACTTTTATTTTTATTTTCTGTAGAAGAGTTTTTATATAAAGCTACATTAATTTTTGTTTCAAATTTAATTTTTTAAATTACTTCATATTCCAGAAGCGTTTTCAAATGAAACTACATTTGATCAGCTTTCTATAAAAGTTTTCATAATTAGAAGAAGCATTTTCATAAAATTTGTCAAACGATCCAATTTTTGAGTCTCAAAATCTCATCTTTTCAAAAGTAAACCGTCGCTAAACCACTATAAGGTTCATTACCCTTAATTGAACCTACTATAAGTTGGGCAACTATATTTATGTTGAGAGCAGACAATTCAGACTAGTGGTGGCAAAAAATCTCGTCTACTCGAATAGCTTGGGTTCGGCCGGAAAAAGCCCGAGTCGGGCCATGCTCGGGCTCGGTGGAACTTCGCCTAGGCTCGGGCCGAGCCCCATTTTGGGGGTCAGCCCAAGCCGGGCAAGCCCATGTCCGTGATTAATTAAAAATAAAAATAAAATTTTAAAGCTAAAATAGTTGAAAAAAATAAAAAATCGAGCCGGCTCGGCTCGAGCCTTATTTTTTTTTTGGCCAGACTCGGCTCGGACCCGAAAAAAGCTCGGCCAAAAAAGGTCGAGCCGAACCCGAGCTTTTTTTTCGGTTCGGACTTGGCTCGTTGACATAACTAATTCAGACCATTTCTTGGGCTCACTGCTTCTGCTGGGGCGACCATTTTAGCAGGGCCATGTTTGTTTGGACCATATATTTTGGCAATGAAATGATGGCCCTCATGTGTAGGGCCTTTTTACTGAACATGTAAATAGAACCGACTCATTTAAATGGAAAAACACTGGTTTATACCTAGCCCATTGGAGACCCAAAAAAGTTCCTGCTCGCCAAGCCCATTTTTACAAATTTCTTCCCCTACTCCTTTCTTCCTTTTCTCTTTTTTTTTTTTTTTATTAGACTAGAGTGGTTAACGTGCATTGCACGTTAGTTATTTGTTTAATTTTGAAAATAAATACATGTAAATTTTAGAGGAATTCATTCGTAAACATGAAAGATATTCATAAGTTTTTTTGTATCTTTTCGATTCT